CCCCTCCCACAACATTGATTCTTTAAGTTTTTTAAAATCATCTTGATTAGAGCTCGTACGAGGTGAAGTTTGTAACGGTCAAATTTTTTCCAAAAACGTGGAAAGTGTGGAGTCGTTATGCGAAAAACAAGAAATGAAAAAACGCAAATCGCGTTCTTCTTCTGTGATTTTTTCAACAGATGACGGTGGGTATATGGTAGGATTAGAAAATGACTGTTCTCAAAGCGGCATCGAGATAATCTCCAAACATGAGACATGGTTGTCTCGGAATAGTTCGAAAAATCAATAATTAGGGGCCGCGGACGGATCTCGGGTTTTGAATAACAAAATCTACCTAAATCTGGTCTTGGGTCATAAGTGCCTCAAATGAGACCGTGGGAGCAGCAATCCCGACAAATGCTCAGAATAACAACGTAAACAGCCTTAAACATTTACCAACACCTGGGCCATCATAATGGAAGCGGCTCATTCTCTATTGGCTGGCTCGATGCATATTCCCCATAATCACCCTTATCAAGTCTAACTAGCGGAGTAATGGAACAGTGCGAAAAAACACCATTATTCCTCCGCGACTATCAGTGTTACTCTTCGAAGACCTGAATATTTCTTTAAAGGAAAAATGCTTGAGTCCCAACACGATGCTTGCAGCGACCTCCTAACTTCATCACCTCCAAATTCAGACGACGTCACAGTCCGTCGCCACAGTGTTGACGTCGGTCTCCAGTCAACTGAACAATCCGTTAAAGAAGTGCTTCATGCTTAAGTTCCTTTTTCTCTAATCATTCTTTTTATTTGTAATGTGCGGATTTTAGCAAATCTTGTCTTAAAAATGTTTTGTTTGAGCCGAGAGAAGGGCCTTTGTAATCGTGAGTCAAAACGACAGAACTTCTGAAAAAGCCCCGTACAGTATGTGCATTGGCACTTCGATCACAGTAACTCCACGAGTACGAGGTCATGTGCAGCCGAATCTGAAAACGGTGGTTTCTGCTCTTCTACGAGAATGTCTAATTGGTAAATCGGTCCATCGAAGGATACCTGTCGACACTGACTGACAATGATTTTGCAGATTTATGCACATCCGCCGTCTGTGCCTTGCATGTAAGCTGCGATGCACGTGCAACAATGGCTCACTATTCACTCTAGTCTTCACCTGTTTCTTCATCATTATACTCGTGAGGCAATCATTTTACTCTTACATAGCTCTAAGGTTGAGCATATTTTCGGGCCCATTGCATCATGTTTCTGGTTACAGCTCGTCAAAGTCAACTATCGACGGTGCATAAATATTGACAGTGGGTACGTTATTGAGCAATTTTTGCAATCTTCTTGCAATGCAGCTTATTTATCTCTGTCAGTTGTCCCGCTCCATCTACTTTTAAGGCGCATTTCACGATAAGTTAGATGTACATAGTTTCCTAGCGTTAATGCCGCGCAGTAGCAGGGACCGTGTTTTCGTCAGACATCGCCACTTGGTCCTATCCGAAGCATTGCTGCCGTAACATTGACTCCAATAAGTCCTTCCTTATGACGTCCCTCCATTTTTCCTTCAGAGCTACTCGTGGTCGCTTGCCCTGGGCTTTGAACTCCATGAATCTTCCTATCGGGTGACTCTCTGGCCTACTTCGTCCATACCATCGCATTCTCTCCTCCCGTATCCTTGGTTGGACAGGAGTGGCCTGCATGACCGATATGGCATCTTCTGTAGGACCCTGTCCATTCGCGTCCAGCCGCAAGCTTACTTAGTCTCCATTCAACTGGAGTAAGCTTGCCTTTTGCGCTTTTGTTCAAGAGCCAACTCTTGCTGCTGTGTAGCAGCGCAGGCCATACTACTGTCCGGCACATTTCCACTTGAGCGTTTTGGAGCGTCTTGGATTGCAGAGGATTTCGGTAGACTATATCCATTCCAGCCACGTCGCGTTGATCGGAACCTTCACCGCCTCCTCCGCGTTACGGTCAGCAACCAGATTGTTTCAGTATCGGAAATTCTCCACTCTTACGAGTGTTCCCCTTGGCCGTTCGCGATCGGCTCTGAATCTTCTCCAATGCTTGGAAAGTTGGTCTTCATCACGTCTAGCCGAGGCCTTCCTGCAATTTTGCCTGACCAGCGGGTATGTATTCAACCCGTGGCATAAACCTTCCTTCGTTAGGACTGTGCGGGGTACTTTATAGTAGCTCAGCTTCGGCTCCTCCAGTACATAGCCTTCACCAAAGAGACTGGCGCCGTCTAGCGCGTTCCCTTCTCTGAACAGGAAGGTTGATATAGAGGCACATGCAGGAACCAAAAGTTATGGTTCATTTCTCCTAAATGACTCCATGAACAAAATAGGAGCAAGGGGAAATTACCTTCAGAAATGTCATTTTTACTGCTTCGTTTGGGGTACATGTCCACAGCTTTGACCAATGTAATATTGAAAGACCCAGCTACTACATTTCAAACAACGCAAACTTCAGACAAAAGGATAAGTTTGTCCAAGTTATGCGCTGAAGAAGTGTCGTTTCATGAGGAATTTCGATGAAGCCTATGCGAATGGGTTCGGTGGACTAGTGGATAGCGTGATGTTCTTGAGTTGGCACGCAGCCGGGAGAGTTGTTGGTTTGACTCTATCAGGGAATCCGTCTTTGCATTTTTGGCTGACATTTCAGCAGCCAACATAGCCCTGGTGCCACTATGACGCCATTCAGCGCCACATTGTCATTCCATGACACCATAACGTTTTTTGGTTTTAGTGAAAAGCTGCTTGTGAGGATTGCTGATGGTTCCAATTACGGACATGGCACACATTTTTGGCGCTCACGCCATTTTGCGCGAATTCTAAAACTCCAATCAAAATGCAAAACCACGCCAATGAAAGTAAACAAACGCGGCCCAATTCATCACCCCATTTGGCATTTAGGGGGAGGGCGGTTAGGAAGAACGAACAATGGTTCTGTGGTTCCCGCTCGTGCTCTATTTCATACATGAAACTGTTTTGAAGAAGCTTGACACCCATTGGACGACCTTCCTGGAGAGTACCTTCCATATATAGTTCAAGTTTGAGGGCTTGGTATCAAGCTTTGCTTTTCGCACACTTCGCCATCACTTGCCTAGCTATACAAATATCATCGGTTCTTAACATTAAGTCATGAACCCGAACTGTTCGGGAGATCAGGACCAGTTCCGTCAGCTTCTAGTCGGCCAGCCGCTCGTTCAGTTCATGCGCACTCAGCTTGACCAAATTAGTTGGAGCATTTAATCTTCCCCCTCTGCTCGGGCTGGGATGATAGTCGTATTCTCCACATACCCAGAATCGTTTCCGCAGCTCCCATCTTCAGAAATTGGATGATCCATCTTTTTCCGAACTATGCCTCTACTGGTCCTCAATCTAGACGACCAACTTTCCAACACTCTTTCCTACTCCCCGTTGAACCTCGTCTTCTGTCTGAAATGATTCCACCTGTGGGCTGCTCTTGTGTGGGGAACTCTGTTTGAAGATCCGGCAAATCACTCTTCCATCTCCTTTTGACTTAAGCTGGCCTCTTCAAGATGATAACTTTGATACCTTTTGCACTTTTAGCAACCTTGAAATCTTGATAAGCCCGATACCGAGCTTTGGCCAACCTAAAACGAAATTTTCTGCATTTTAGCTTCCCAATTACTCGTACAAGGTTCTCTGGTTCTTCACCTTGATGACCTCGCTCTGCTTACGTTTGCATGCCTCCTTCTTCCTCTTTAGGAATCGTAGGACTTATTCGTTTCAGGAACACATTGTCTTCCTGGCTGTAGTTCGCGTTTCGCCCAGCACCTTCTTGACGCATCGTGTGGTGACCTCAGCGACGTTGCACTGTATCCTGGACGAGTCTCGGAAACCAGCTCACTTTCTCTTCCGTTTTCCGTCCTTCGCTTGGTGCTACTTCGACCACCTAATTCTCCTCTCGGTTCTTACTCTTATCTTCATGGGGAGATCTATTCCAATGTCTGCCAGGAGGGGTCGGTGCTGCGAAGCCAGGTCTATGCCTAGAGTAGCTGATGTTTTCTTACCGTTTTGAGATTGTTCCTATTACGACACAAAATCTTTTCCTTTTGCCGATTTCCTTTCGAATCGATTTTCTTTTGCCTCCTTCCACCGCTGAAGATTACCCTAGTCTCCCCTTTCGCGGAGCACTTGCTGCAGAACGCCAGATCGTAGGCTGTAGCTAGGTCCCTAACCCTCTCTCTTAGCGTTTCTCATCCTATCCCTCTACCTCTGTCATTGTTCACAGGCCTCTTTTGTCACCTCCGACGTGGCCGTTTGGACTACCTACTATGGTAGTAACCTTTCGGAGTCGAGCTGATTGCCTCAGCAATGCTAAGATAGAGCTCTTGCTTCCACACTGGGGCAACCGGCTTGCGGTGCTTACACTGGCAGTATCTTCCTCCGTTTCTACACCATAATCCTATCGTTGGTTCTGCTCACGGCAGAGGCGCGTTCTTAACGACTCCGCTTACGCTATAGCCACGCAATTCCGTCTGACATCTCTCATTCAAAGTGTGACTCATTCGCCCATTCCCCTGGCCTCGGCTCATTTCCTGAGAGCATAGTACTCGGGTATTCCGGCGCGCGATAGAATCAGTAACCTTTGACTTCCCATTTAGCAACCCTGGGCTCAGACTCTCGTCAAAGTTATTCTCTGCTCGAGGCTGGTTCACAACCTCGTAAGCCCTCCATGCTGCCACTGAGGGTTCTGCGCATAGTTTCCGGCGTTCCGTAGCCTAACTGTTAACAATGATATTATGACGCGGACATTTAGCCCACTTTGTGTTGGGGGGGGGGGGCTTTGGGGTCGCCATAGGCTAGCCCAACCACACAATAGTCATGAGTGTGGTACTGGAACTATTTACCACTTTCCACAAGGCATGCTAAAACATCTGTAAGCATTGGACCCGTCGCTCTCGAAAGTACGGACGTGATCTACACTCATGACTAGTCGTCCATCCCTGCCTAGTGAGTTGAGTTAGTTATCTCATTCATATTTGGTTGTAGAGGTGCCGAATGACACTAAGAAGGAAAAATCCGAAAAGGAAAAAAGAAAAAATCAGGAAGAGATTGATATGACCGGGACGCACCAACACATTCGCGGCAAAAACTGACCTAGTCTCTCGTCAGAGTCACAGTGTCATGGTCAGCTCATACATCTAAGGGCTTAGAGCCTTGGCGGATCGTAGATGTGTCTTTAGAAGGCAAGAGGCAAGTTTCAAGCCACGGTCTTGGTAATTGATAGTTCAATTTTCAAATTGTTTTGTACATTGTTCTGTTTAGACCAGTCAGAATTGATAGCATATGTCGTGGAAGCTCAAATTCCTGCTACAATGTCTACGTTTCCAAAGAGAAACGGTGAGTTTTGACAGTCCGAAGGAATATTGCGCGTTCTCCTTTCGGAATATCGACCTCCAACCATTGATCTACAAATTCAGACACCCAATATCATAAGGAAGTGAACTTGTTCTCTCCAATTTCTACCCAGCCATACCTTGGAGGATCCGTGATACATTGCAAAGTAAACATGTGGTTCGACGATAAGAACAAACACAGATTTTTCAGGGGCTTTTTTGGAAAACATGGCCTCAAATGTATAGGTTTGCTTTTGCATTCGAATTTCCTGAACGGCAGGCACCGGAGTGGCCTCACTAGTAGGAAAGGTACAGCGAGGGAAATTGTAGGTTCCGTACCCACATAGATCGTGTCAACTTCGTCACACAAATTGCGAAATTAGGGCGCTAATTCTTACGGCTCTAGAACAATCACCCCCGCTGCAAAGCTTCCCACTGAAGCAAAAACAACAATAACCACCGAATCAGAAACATTTCTCCATTGAGTTGCTTCATTCATACGCCTTGTATGCTCAGAATAAGACAGGAAGTTGTTTTGAAGCATATCTACTCTCTCGCCTGTGGATAGACTTTTTCAATTACTCTGCTTCGAGTTTGGGGTCGTCCAAAATCGGCTCAAAGTGGGAACGAGGATGCTCCATAGCCTCTTGATTTAATTGTCTCACTTCGATAGCATCGTGATAAAAAAGCGATGTGGCTGAAAAGTCCCAGATTAATAACACAGTCAAATTGCTGATTACTGATCAAACAGGGAACAGTATAACTCCATGAAAGGACCTCTTTCTGATATCTGATACATCAACGAGAACTTCCGAGATAGTTGTCGACCCTGTTGAGTAGGTGTCGTAGAGTAGGTCCAAGACTTCTTTTCGTTCCAAGAGCGAGTGCTTGACTATTCGATGCTCCAACCGCTTATGGCAGGGGATTGTATTCGGCATAATCAACACAGAGTTTCATAAGATTTGAGTTGAGAGGTCATCCGTGGTACTCAACGCCCTCGGCCAAATGATTTTTCGGCCGCAACCTATCTTGAAATATCGACTTCTTCTAAATTTGATGTTTTAAAATCAAGGGTGTTTCACTAGAAGAGCGTATTAATTCTGACTGGAAAAAAGGAAAGAGTGAAAGTTACATATTTTGCTAGAAATTCCTGAGTATGACTGATTTCTCGGTAAATTCCATCATGAAAGAGAAAGAGAAGAAAAGAAAAGAAGAAAAAAAAGAAAGAAGAAAAAAGAAAAACCATCCATTTCTGAATTCATGAGCGGCGACAAGGAAGAAATTCGATAGGGCGTGTAAACTTTGATAGCCGCCATCATAAAGTTCATATCCGACCGGTTGAGGGGGGCCCTTCCACGGACGTACCAGCGCTGCGGCTGTGACAACGCGGGAATGGAAAGTTGCCGTATCCCAGTGATTGAGTGGTGTCTGAGCAATCCGTCCTGCCGTCTGCATTCCTCCGCATGCACACTATCTTAGCAGTACGACGTGTAACCTTTCCATCCGCGCTCTCGCCACTTTTCCGTCTGCGCTCTCGCCACGTTTCCGTCTGCGCTCGCGCCACGATCGATCATTCGAAATTTATCAG